TGCTGCAAACCATTGCCTCCAAGCTATGATTACCTCTTTTCATTGTGATAGCATGGAGTAAATTTATCTATGTATTAATTCAATAAATATTAATTTAATGCGAATCGTGCAGAAAATTTGCTAAGAGAGAGTGAAGCTTTGCAATTCTTCAGAACTGTAATTTTACAAACATTTTATAGAAAATGTAGTTTGACTGGGTTTACTTGCAAATATTGTCATCTCTAAGTTCCCTTGCAACCCTTGGTCGACCCCTGACAACATCACCCATAGAAAACTTCTGTCTTTTGAATGCTAAAGGCGAAATATAACATTCGCAACAGGCCACATGTGCAATATATTGTAAATGAATCAACAAATTTTTTTTTCAATATAGCCAATTCTGGCGAGAAATTGGAACGGTTAGTTTGTTCCACAAGCAAATCTCGCTGTCGCGAAGCATAAAAATGAAATTATGGACCTGAGAACTAACCATAAGTGTGAGGATTTGATCTGGTATTTTCAATGGGTATACCAATTGGCATCTAGCTCATAGATGTCTTGCTGAGAAATCCGTCAATTATCAAAGGATAAAGGATAAAGCATTTGCCGTTGATCAATCCCTTTTTGGGATGCGGCACGCATTCTACTTCCATTTGTACATTCGTAGTGGCGTTTGAATGCGATGTGGCCTATACAATGACTTGCGGGGGCCAGCCGATGTACAAGTCAGTGTTTTTATCCTCCCAGACAAGTCTGGTACCAATTAACCGACCCCGGAGGGATGGAAGGCTTGGTTGGCCCGGGCGACTCACGACCCAGGATTTGATCCCGGACCGCGTGCCACTTGCCACTACACCACTTCCGCCCAATTATTACTGGGATTGACTTCCTCACACAATCCTGATGCACAAGCAAGTGCCTACATGATAGACCTTCTGCTAGAATTTTACCGCTATCATGGGACGAGCCACTTCTTGTCACAGTATTCATTCTTTACGCTCTGAAGCATCAATGAAGGCAGAGATGAGTGGTCCATGCAGTTTCTGCAGGGTAAGTGCTCACGATTTCCAGGCATGAAGGGGATGAAAGGCTCCTGATAATTTCCACATTTCTACAGAAGCCTTATCCTAGCAAAATAAAAGGTATTCAAGAAAAATGAATGGCCTCCACTCACGCTACAAGCTATCGGAGCTGGTCGTCGACTGGCTGATGGCTACCGTAGTGGTTCAAAATGGGACATATCGCCTTCGACGAGCACGCCGACAAGGGATCAACATGCAGTGATCGATATTTCACCTGTTTTGATCCGCTCTAATTGAGTAAAAATCCACCCCATGATCAGCGACAGAAGCAAATCGGATAAGCGGAGGGTTCACGTGTGCTGTGCTCCGGTGCGCTAAAAACCACACTCACCAGTTGAGGACGATGCGTGGTCGATTTCAGGACACGTGACTTGTGAAGTCATATATATCTGTTAGATTTTGTGTTCACAAACTTCTCACATTGGAGGGCAAAGTAACTATTCTCAGCCCGTCTCTTCGTCATCAAGGGGCTTCATGGAGCAGGCGGAATAAAGCGTTTCGTCCGAGTAGGAGACAAAACAAACCACCCTACATGTTTCGGTTATGTTGAAAACGTGAGTAGGTTCATTCAGAACTGCAGTAGAGATGAAACCTTCGCATCAGGTCAATTCTTAAATAAAGAATCACTCTGTCTATATTTTTGGAATTCCATATTCTCTGACACAACTGCTCATTCAAAATAACTACACATTCTATCTACAAAAGGTTGCCTACACATGATGAGCTTTTCGCCGCCTTTATTCTTGAATTCTACAGACTTCTGATCGAACGAGCATCGAATTTTATTGACGAGATCACGTCAACGTAAAACTTCCTCCAGAGGAAACGCTAGAAATCAGTTTGCTCATTGACGCCCAGTTTGGACTATAACTGAGTTGAAAAACAATAGCAGTCTCGAAAATATCGAATTTTCTTGTATTTTCTCAAAGGGCTAGAAATCAACCTTAGAAAAAGCAGGTTTTCTCACTGTTGTTGTCCAGAGACTTCGAATATCAACCGACATGTTTAGCCTCATCAAATGGCTTCGATAGTATTGTGTCAGTTCCCATGCAAGAACCGCTCTCCTCGTTAAGCCAACAGTCAATATGTCATAGATCAAATGAATTTGGCTATTTGCAAGTCGAAATTTTAAATTCGTATCAGCTAGGCTAGTGACCATGTGCTGGTAAGAAGATCAACCCTCAAAACTGTGAAGGATATCAAAGTTCTACCCGGCGAAGATCTGGCTCCCCAGCACAGGCCCCT